CTATTCGTGACCACCGTTTCCGTAAAGAAATTTTTCCTAATTTCCAGTCTAAACCTCCCCTGGCGCAGCTTGAGCCCATTTCCTCTCGTCCTATTGCTAACTACTTGGGAGAAGAGACCAACACCCACCTCACTACAACCTCCTCTCAGGTACTTGTAGAGAGCGATAAGGTCTCCCCTCAGCCTCCTCTTCTCTAAGCTAAACAACCCCAGTTCCCTCAGCCGCTCCTCATAAGGCCTGTGCTCCAGACCCTTCATGAGCTTCGTTGCCCTTTTCTGAACACAGAAATCCTTGAGTGTTAACGTCTGTGGTGGGTTACGGCACACATCTTCTCCGTGGCGGACAGATAATCCCTTCACATCCTACCCCAGCGATGTGTTTCCATGGGGTGCCAGCAGTGCCAGCCCGGGAGCTGCCCCTGGGCCGGGTGCTGGGCAAGGGGATGTACCCAGGAGCTCTGCACAGCCCCGATGCCTACCGAGCCGCTCGCTGGTGCACCCATGGGTGCAGTGCTGCGGAGCCCAGCGTGCCCAGGCAGTCTCGGCATTGTGCAATGGTGATGGTGGCACAGTCTCACCCAAGGAAGGAATTCATAGAATCACAGAATCATAGAATGCTTTGGGTTGGAAGGGACCTTTAGAGGTCACCTAGCCCAACACCCCTGCAGTGAGCAGGGACAGCTTTAACCAGATCAGGGTGCTCAGAGCCCCGTCCAACCTGACCTTGAATGTTGCCAGGGATGGGGCCTCCACTACCTCGCTGGGAAACCTGTTCCAGTGCCTCACCACCCTCATTGTAAAAAATTTCTTCCTTATGTCTAGTCTAAATCTATTCTTCTTTAGTTTAAAATCATTACTCCTTGTCCTGTCACAACAGGACTTGCTAAAATGATTGTCCCCAGCTTTCCTATAGGCCCCCTTTAACTACTGAAAGGCTGCAATAAGGTCTCCCTGCAGCCTTCTCTTCTCCAGGCTGAACAACCCCAACTCTCTCAGCCTGTCCTCGTAGGAGAGGTGCTCCAGCCCTCGGATCATTTTGGTAGCCCTCCTCTGGACCCGCTCCAGCAGTTCCATGTCCTTCTTGTGCTGAGGGCTCCAGAGCTGGAAACATGTTGATGCTGTGAATTAGAACGAGGTTGATGGAAGAGCCAGCTGCAATCACGAGCCTCGCTCACCCGGCTTTGAAGCATTAGTGCCGCATTTTTTCCTGCACTGATGATGGTGACATGCCAGTCACACTGCTGCTGTCAGTCATCTCAGCCTGATGCTCACAAACTGAGCAGAGCTGGGATGTGCCGGAGGCCAGTTCAAAGCAACCCACTTCAAAAGCCATGCGCCCAAGCCTTTGCCATTTTTTTTCTTTTGCATTTCAGAGGTTAGTTTCATTTTCACTTACACATTGGGGCAGCAGGATTTCTTCTCAGTGCAACGCTGGGGTTGCAAACGTGGTGACTGTGGGTTGAGAGCCACATGGGGTCTTTCCTCTTTTTTTTTGCTGACTTCGATGTGAAAAATGATGACTGTGTTTCAGTTGTCATTACACTTGATAACGATGACTGAAGAGATAAGTCATTTACCAGTATCAGGGATGGGAAATGACTAATGGGACTCAAAGCTCGCTGTATTAATGGCCCTGGAGTACAGGTTGGCAGGAGCAAGGGAAAGGAGATGAAACCGCCAGCTTTTTGGCTCTGGTCCTTTGGTACATGTCATTGCTCAGTTCAAAATGTACTTGGAAAGTGGCCCAGCCTATATGCAATTTCTATACTAAATAATACCCAAATGCAGAAAGCCACTGCCCAACTGGAGTCTCCATTTGTCCTCTGCAGCAAGCTGAGATGGTTAACTTACGTTAGGAAAAAAGAAAGGGCAAATTATTTCCAAACTAAGATCCACTGAACAACAGAGCCACTTCTGAAACACTGCCCAGTGGCATGCATCTCGGGGAGGGCTGGTGGTGGATGGCAACATGTCCGCCTTGGCGGGCAAGGACCTGCAGCCTCAGAAACTCCTGCTGTGAAGCAGAAGTACAGGGCTCTTCTTGCACTTCAAGTTTGTGGGGATGAGGTGGCTCCATCCCCTGGCTTGCATCGCATTGCCTTGCATTTTAATTCCAGGGCTGGTGCTAACAGCGTTTGGGCAGTCCCAGAGGGTGAAGGGGTCAGCGGCTGGGACACTGTGTGCTGTGGGACTCTCGTTTCCCTGCCACGCTCACACTCACGTGGACAGCTTCCACTGGGCTTGGGAAGTCCGGCCAGCCTGGGGTTTTGGCCGTGGTGGTAGAGGGGCATCTCCAGCGGTAGCTAGAGAAGCTGTCTTTACCAGAGAGCCCAGTGTCTCCAGAGCCCTGCATAGATGCTGCAGGTGTAGGGCAGGTTTAGCGTGAGGCATTTTGTCCCACCTCTCCCCGTGGGTAGGATTGATGCCGCGTGCTGCTGACCCTGCATCTGCTCCTCACCCCATCCAGACCCCACTCACCTGGGCCCTCCCAGGCACAAGAGGACATGACCGTGGTTGGTCATTGGCCCAGCATTTGTGCATCTCTGTGTGCACGTGTGTGTGTATCTTCAACCCACCAAGCTCACCTCATCCCTGCTCTCCTCACACTGAACTCAGCCATGCCATGTGAATCCTTACCAGATTTTCCTTGCTTTGCTTTGTCATAATGCATGCGCAAAACGCTCTTGCATTGCTCCCTGGAGCAGCGTGAGTGATGCAGCTTACAGATGTAGGCACGTATTTGTCCAACTGTTGTCTCTCTGGCTTTTTTCTCCCCCTAGTTAATTTGTGAAGATCTGAATGAACACCCCCCTGGACAGGAAAGCTCATTGTGTGCTGCATGGCCACTGCAGGGTGTTTGGGAAGCTGTGACCCACAGCCGTAGTCAAAGTATTTGGTAACTCTATAGGGGAAAGAGCTGTCAGGCAGGCAGGAATCAGAGCAGGGACTTCCCAATCCAGTGGTCTTGATCCAGCCACAACACTCACAAACGCCAACTTCTGCAGCCTGGGAAAGTGAACAGAGGCCAGCTAGCCATGACCCTGCTGTGTCACCAGCCATCCCTGTCACCAGCAGTTGCTGTCTGATTTTTCTTCCTCCACCCAAAGATGGGTGCAGCTGCAGGCCCAAGTGCCCACAGGTAACTGCTGTAAAGAGCTGGTACCCTGTGCTGGTGAACTGATCAACTGCATCCCATCCAAAACCCCATCCTGAGCAGCTCAGCTGGACCCCAGCAGCCAGCTGGCCACTCTCCCTGCTCGGCCCCATCATGCACGGCAGGCTGCAGGGTGGCAACCTGCAAACTGGGCAAGAGGCAGCGGTGAGGGGCTCCAGCCCGAGATGGCCCAGTGGGTTTGGAAGAAGGGACTTAGCCGGCAGCACCTGCCCTGAGTATTGATGGTAGCTGACTGCCCCAAAGTGTCCCACCACCTGTTGCTGCGTGGGCTCACATTAAAACAAGCCAAGACATTTCTGAAATGAGGCACCTTGTGAAAGAAGCTGGTAGCATAGACCTTGCCCAGCTCAAAGCAGGCCAAGTCCTGAGCCTCAAAACGTCATCAGACATAGCTTTTATATCTGCAGCTAAAGGGCACGTTGCCATTATTCTGGCAGACCTTTCAGCCTCTTTCAGTGCTTCAGTACTGGAAAAATTGCCTTTACTCAAGACTAATAGAAATTCAGGGAACATGATGGCATGTTTTCCAGTTAGGCATTGCACTTGCTGTGGTCTCATGGAGCAGCATCCATAGGCAAAGGCTTCTTCCTGGCCGGTGGGGACACTCCATTCCCTTGGGGCAGATGTTGCCCAGACCTCAGCTATTCACCTCGTCCTCCCTTCTTCTCCAGCCCCACATACGACGTTGCTGGGTCTGAAGCAGGTGGTGCACAGGAGCACTGCGGGGCTCTTCTCAGTGGCAGCCACCCTCTGCTCTCCACCCTGGCTTCTCACAGTTCCTGAACCAAGAGGGGGACCAGGGCTATGGACTTCAAAGCACCACACCAGCAAGGCACTGAAGTTCTAAACAGCCGCCTACAGCTTGGGGGTGAGGAGCTTTTTGTCATGTCCACCCACCCCTCCAGGGCAGTGCCTGTGTGGGACAGAGCATCCTCAGGCAGGACTGCCCCAAGGACAGAGAGCCATCGCAGCCACCCACAGCAGTCATTCATAAGTCTTGCTTTCTCTAACCTACATGCATATTTAAAGACCAGTTAAGTAGAAGAAACCTTAAAATCCCATCTAACATGCTTTTGCCTGAGCAAAGGACCCAGTGCACAGGCATAACGCAGTCCTGGAGGGCTTTTAGCTGCTGTCTGGGCAATGATCCTAAAACCCTGACTAGACCAAGTTAGAGGAGAATGGCACCATGAACATCACTCACTCCTTGACACATGAAAATATTGGGGAAAAGCCCGACTTTCTCTGTGGCAATTTCTAAATGGAAAATAAGATGGGCTGGGCTGAATAACCCATGTACTGTAAACAAGTCGCCTGACTCAGTTTGCCAAGGCCTGTCCTGGAGTCAGCAGTGCTGGCTGGTGACCCGGGTGGCCACAGCTGCTTGCTGAAAGGGCCCCCATGGCAGAGCTGCACCTGCTGAGGTTTGTCCTCATGCCCCAGAACAGAAACCTGATGGGGCTGAAGCCAGGCAAGCGTGGTGACCCTGACTACCTGCCCATGATGTCCTACCCAACAAGAAGAGGGTCTAGCTATGGCAAGCTGTGCCAAATGCCACTGAGGGCTTTCCTTAGCTCGCACTGAGTGTGAATCCACTAGCTGACACCTCACCAAGCATTGCTTGGGCCCCTGAGTTATTTTTTGTGGGGTAAGTGCAGTCCCTGGAGGTGGGAACCCATTAAGCAAAGGGACCTCTGGCCACTTGCGGAGTAAGTAAGGGTTTTTCGTGGCATACCGATGTATGAAGCCTTTCCTGATCTGGTGGAAGTGGGTGTGCAAGAAGAGGAAGGAGCTGTCAAAAGAGCTTATTTTGCTTTTTTCTTTTTCTTGCTTCCCTGAATGCTTCATGCTTTTCTGTGTTACTGGAAGATAACGTCAAACTGCCTCTCCCCATCACAGCGTCCCCATCTGTAAAACCGGGAGCTGATATTTTCCCATTAATGCAGGGCACGGCGAGGGTAACTCCTAATGACTGTAAAGTGCCTCGGAGACAGCAAGTGTAATAGGCAGCCTAATAATTAGCACTGTTATTTGATTACAAGCCTGGGTGGCTGGCAGCAGGACCGCACAGTAATACTCTGAATCCCTTCATCTAGTACCTGCCCCTGAACGGAGAACTCGTGCTGGCATCTGGTGCAGGATTTGCAGCTTTCGATGGCAGCTGGGATCCAGGCTGTGATTCAGGTATTTTGTGCCCAGACCAGTCATCTCATCAGCCCCTGATTAATCACTCGAATTCACCCCCAACGCTTCTACAAAGGTCTCTGCTGTCCCACCTCAGAGCAAAGTGAATCACTCCTCTTTTAATACCTGCCTTTTCTTTGATGACCTCCCTCACATCAGATCTTTTTTTCCTGCTAGATCACCTCTCTTCTAAAAAAGCAATTATAGTAGGGAAGCCTTTGAAGTTGTGGCAGAGAGGCAAATATTGTTTGTATTTTACCCTGCCTATTAAGCATGTAACCACATCAAAGCCCTCATTTTCTTTGCCATGGTATTTCTAAAGAAAACTGGTTAGGAATTACACACCGGCAAGCTGAACCGAAGCTGGCCTTTGGCCCAGTGCGCACAGGCATTTCAGCGTAAGTGCATCTTTCCCTCCCCTCTTAGCCTCCAGCCCAGGTTTGCAGTGACGGAGGCAGCAGGTTTGTTTCATCGGTGCCTGTTATTAGTCTGAAAGCTGTTTGCTAGGGAGATGTATTCTGGGTATTTCAGAGCTACCTAACGCTTTCAGTGGCAAGTAACTTTTTAGTTCGGCCACAGGAAAGGAAGAGTCCAAGTGGAACACCTGTGCCTGTGCTCTGACTGGCAAAAAAAGAGAAAAAAGAGAGAAAAAGCCCAAACGGGTCTGGCTGGAGGAGAGGCTGCAGCATCAGGCTGTTTGGAGCCACTCCAAAAACCTTCATCCCTATAATTCTTCCACATTGGGTCTGTTTGCCCCCCATCAGGGATGCTCTGGCAGCTGCCTCCACCTTGCACTGGGCTTTTTCTTCTGACCACATGCTGCTCACCTGAAATCAACAGGCATTTCTGGGGCAGCTTTCACAAATGGGTTTTTTTAAAATCATGACTTTAAAATGAATGCAAATAATTCAGTCAGTAAACGCCTGTGTGATAGCTGAATCGGTAAAGGTTCAGCGGTGGGGAAGGGTGAGAAGGAAGCAGGGCACTGTGTGATGATACTAACTGTGTCCAGCAGGGAAACAGTTAATGGTTAAATAATTAATGGTTAAATGGTGCACTGGTTTTGGGGGTTATCCACTGCGGGGACCAGGGCTGGTCATGTTTCTGCAGGCCTGCCAGGCTGCTTGGAAACTGGGACATGACTTATCATACCCATTTTCTTTCCAGTTTAGCTGTTATTCAGCATTTAGGCTCCATGGCTGTTTTCCTCCCTAACCATAAGGGTGAGCTTTAAAGAAGTGGGGGAAAAACGTCCTGTGGGATCTGGGGCCAGAGGTCTGCAGCCAGAAGTGGGGTCTGGGCTAAGCTGCTGAGACGCCAGCCCTGAGCACTGGAAAGTTTTGCCGAGCCTCCGCCGGGCTCTGGGAGGTGCCTGCAGTGGCTGCCCGGGGAAGGCGATGCCTGGGCCGGCCCTTTGCTCCCTGCCCGCAGGGTGAGCAACTCTGCTTTGGGCCAAGCACTCACTGATTTTACCAACCCAGATGCATCCTTCAGGGCTGTGGATTTGGGTCTGGGTCACGCTCAGCCTTTCCTGTTGCTTTTCCAGGTGCTGTGGATTTGGGCTGTGGATTTGGGTCTGGGTCATGCTCAGCCTTTCCTGTTGCTTTTCCAGGTGCTGTGGATTTGGGCTGTGGATTTGGGTCTGGGGCATGCTCAGACTTTCCTGTTGCTTTTCCAGGTGCTGTGGATTTGGGCTGTGGATTTGGGTCTGGGTCACGCTCAGCCTTTCCTGTTGCTTTTCCAGGTGCTGTGGATTTGGGCTGTGGATTTGGGTCTGGGTCACGCTCAGCCTTTCCTGTTGCTTTTCCAGGTGCTGTGGATTTGGGCTGTGGATTTGGGTCTGAGTCATGCTCAGCCTTTCCTATTGCTTTTCCAGGTGCTATGGATTTGGGCTGTGGATTTGGGTCTGGGTCATGCTCAGCCTTTCCTATTGCTTTTCCAGGTGCAACAGTGAGGTTTGCTGATGCCGAACACCATGCGTGGTTTGACCCCATGCTATGGCAGGCCGTGCTCCCCAGTGGGGAGCTTGAACCAGGCAGGCGCATCTTTTCTGTGGATGAGGAAAACGTCCCGTGCCGCTACGATGATGTTATCTTCCAGCCTGAAACCTCCTTCCGGGTAAACGTCGACTCATCGCGGCGAGTGATTCATCTCCGCAGCATCTCTCTCATGGGCCAGGTAACGTGGGGATGATGAGAAACCGGCCTGACGCCTCCTCACCATGGCCCCAAAGTAGGTCAGGAGAGGAAGGACCAGCCAGGGATGGAGGAGCGGTGCTGCACGGGGCGCTCCCACAGTGCTACAGCTTCATGGGCTGCTGCTGCTGCGGATGGTCTCAATGATTTTTTTCCTCTACCCGTTTGTTACCACCTCCCTCCCTGCGGCGTGGGAGCATAGGCCATCTCACTATTCATGTTAAAAAAAAAAAAAAGGCCACTGTGCATGGGTCAAACTGTCAGCAAATGGCATCTTCTGCGGCACCCAGGGGCTGCCTGTTCCCAGGCACGTGTCCACAACTGCGCTGCTCAGGGGCCCTCTGGGGACACCTCCCTCCCATCCCCGACCTTAACGCAGCCCGCGGCCCGGCAATTGTCTCCCAGCTTTGCTTCGGTACTGCTTTTTAATTGATTGGAGGGATAATTATAGAAATGCTGGCAGCCTGCTGTGCTTCAGCCCGGGAATCAGGTGCACAACGAGCCCCGTCCCTCGCCGGTCGGAGGAGTGAAAGATCACAGGCACTGCAGCAGTAAACACAGGCTCCTTCCAGGAGTAGGAGATGCGGCAGACATTTCATAAGTTATTTATTATTTCTGCTGCTGTGCTGCCTGGGATCTGCCATTTCAGGGCCAGGCATTAGGTAACCGGTTTTTGAGTAATAACCTCAGTCGGTGCCCAGGCGGGTGCAGGCAAGTCTGGACAAGGCAGGACCCCAATGGAGCTCACCTAGGGCACACGTAGCCCCAGGGATGCAGAGGTGGGCAGTCCTGGGCGCTCAGAGTGATGCTGGTCCCACTGATTCCTGGGGACCAACCCATAACACATCATCCCCCCTGCCAAATCCACCCCTCGCAGGGACTGGAGCTGGCCATGCCCTGGGGTGGAGGCTGCTGCCGAGTGATGAGATGGAAAGAAAAGGTGCTTTTTATTTTTGTGATTAGAGCATATTTCCTAAAAACTGACCTTATAAGCTACTTTGTCCCTTTGAAGCCAGCCCACTCCTTGTTCTGTTTGGGGTATTTTCACCCCAGGGCCTGAGAGATCCTCCTGCTATGCCAGGGCATGGAGAAGCCTCCTATAGAAGGCAGAGGGTGAGGGACTTACCATCGGCTTGGTAGGACAAGGCTGGTCAGTCCGGCTCAGCCTTTGCTAATGCTGAGTGCACTGAAATGCTTCCCAGATGAAAGGAAAACACCTCAGATCTAGCCCCTCCCTTGCAATAATTAAAAGCTGATAAACTGAATTCTCCAGGCCAGCAGAAAGAGGGAAAACAAGAAGGGAAAAAAAAAAAAAAAAAAAGCCCAGCCATCTCATGATTTATTTGTGGTCCTTTTTTTTTTTGTTGTTTTAAATTAGAAAGGGTTTTTCTGCTGGCCCCATGGAAAAGCCCGAATGGGTGTAGTGGCAGGATTTTCCTGCTGCACTCACTGCCTACAGTGGGTTTGCCCCAAGCTGGCTGTCAGACGTGCCACCAGGCGCCCGGGCGGCATGGCTGAGTGCCTGGGGACAGTGCTGGGACCTGGCTGGGGTTGCTCACCAGTTTTTGTGGCTCTTCCTTGCTTAGGAGCTCAGCAGCCCCGAGGCCTGGGCCGGGTACCTGCGGGGTCCCTCCGCCCCGCTGCAGTTTCATGGCAATGGCACTCTGCAGGTGACAGGCACCGGCTGTCCCGACAAGTCTGGCTGTGCCTGCGGGAACGCCCTGGTGAGTCCTCCCATTGCAATTTAGGGGGGTGCCATTACAGTTTGGGGGGCAAGGGACTGACTCTGCTCTGATCTCCTTTAGGATGGCCACCGCATCTGCATGGCCCTGCTCGGGGCATCAGGGAGGCAGTGCCCAACACCAGCATGCCGGAGCCCTTTGCAACCCCTGGGCCACTGCTGCAAGGTCTGCGGTGAGTGGGGGGCACAGCCCTATTCCTCCTCCCTGCCACGCTGGCTGCCCCTGCCCCCTTCCCCTGGCTCTGCAGGGGAAAGCCAGGTGCAGGGGATGCTGCTGCTCTGGGGTCTGGGTGCTCGTGGGCTGAAGTTTTGCTGTAGCACTGCTCCCATGGGTCCCATCTGCAGATCCCATCTGCATCCCACATGCCACCTTCCCAGGGCATCTCCCTGCACCGGGGTCGGTACAATCCCAATACAGGCTGGGCGATGAGTGGATTAAGAGCATCCCTACAGAGAAGGACTTGGGGGTACTGGTGGATGAAAAACTAGACAGGAGCCAGCAATGTACGCTTGCAGCCCAGAAAGCCAACCGTATCCTGGGCTGCATCAAAAGAAGCGTGGCCAGCAGATCAAGGGAGGTGATTCTGCCCCTCTACTCCATGCTGGTGAGACCCTACCTGGAGGGTGGGGCCCTACCTGGAGCACTGTGTCCAGCTCTGGGGTCCCCAGCACAGGAGAGATACAGACCTGTTGGAGTGGGTCCAGAGGAGGGCCACAAAAATGATCCGAGGGCTGGAGCACCTCTCCTATGAGGACAGGCTGAGAGAGTTGGGGTTGTTCAGCCTGGAGAAGAGAAGGCTGCGGGGAAATGTTATAGCAGCCTTCCAAAAGGGGGCCTACAGGAAAGATGGGGAGGGTCTCTTTGTCTGGGTCTGTAGTGATAGGATGATAGGTAATGGTTTTAAACTGAAAGAGGGTAGATTTAGATTAGATATTAGGAAGAAATTCTTCACTCTGAGGGTGGTGAGGCACTGGAACCTGTTGCCCGGGGAAGCTGTGGATGCCCCATCCCTGGCAGTGTTCAAGGCCAGGTTGGATGGGGCTTTGAGCAGCCTGGTCTAGTGGAAGGGGTCCCTGCCCATGGCAGGGGGCTTGGACCGACGGAGTGGAAGATGTCCCTGACCACAGCAGGGAGCTTGGAACTAGGTGATCTTTCAGGTCCCTTCCAACCCAAACCATTCTGTGATTCTATGATTCCATGAAGAATCAGCCTGGCTTTTGGGAGCCTGTTCTGAATTGCAGCCCTTTTGTCCCTGCCTCTGGTTTATCCTGTCAGGATGTCACAGCTTGTCAAGCTAATAGGGCTCTGCAGAGTTTATGCAGCGGAAAACACTCAGAGGAAACGCACCTTTTTCACCATAATGTCACCTTTCCAACAGCAAGTTCGTTTCATTTCATTTAAAATAAAAACATGCAGATTGACAGCGTTCCCTCTGCAAGAGGTGCTTCTCCATTAACCTACCTGGAAGGTTGTTAAGGGGAATTTTTCAGGCACAGTTGTACCTAGATATTTGGTATATCATATTTGGTATATCACACCAAATGGCACCATATGTTTCTCTGACATGTTCCTAAAAGCAGAGCCTCTTAAAGCCTTTATTTCATATTTTAACAAATGCTTCCTTGGGTTTTTTCCCAAGGAAAATATTTGACCCAATGACTGCAGTGCCATGGTACCGGGAGCACAGGAATCCTTTCCTCTCCGCCTTCCCTCCAAAGCCAGGGTAACGTTGCTGAATCGCAGCCTTGCAGCCCTGACACCCAGTTACATGCAGTGCTTCCTAGGGGATACTCAGGTGAAAGCTTTCCAGGGAAAGCTTCTCTCTGGAATATGGTGGAAACCAAGAGCCCTTCACCAAACCCAGCTGACAAAAAGACCAGTGAGGGAGGGAGAGGTTTCTTGGGGCAGTGCTGCTCAGGCAGTTGTGGAGCTGCCCCTCCTGAGCCCAGCCAGGCCAGTTGCACGGAGCTACCGGCGGGTCCCAGTGCCTTTCGTGGTGGTCAGAGCCGTGCCGCTGTGACAGCTCTCTGCCCAGGCTTGGTGACAATGTCCTGTCTGTCTGTTTTTGGGCTGCAGGAGCCATGATTAACCTGGATTTTACTCCTGATTTTGACCTGCAGAAGTACCGGGACAGACTGGTCCAAACCTTGCTGAGCCAGGTATGTCAGCCCGCCAAATCAGGAGGGACTAATGAAACCGCAAGCCACTGGCCACGTCTGCCGTGATTCAATACCGGTGGGGCTGTCTGGGGGGGGCACAAGGTCCCAGGGATGCAGGGGGTTCAGCCTTGCTCCCCACCACCCTGCAGGGCTCACCCCCATGTTTGGCCTCTTGGATGTGCCAACTTGCCATGGGTGCCGGTGCAGCCTCCTTTGCTCCCCACCACAGCCACGCTGTCCCTCTCAACGTCGGGCAGGAACAGCTGCCAGCAGGCAAATGGGGAAGGATGCAGGGGGACTTGCTGGAAACCCTAGGCTAGAAAACATAGGAGGTCAGGTTGAGATAATGTGGGAGGTCAGCCCATGCGGCTGGGATCATGCAAACCCACTGCAATGCATCCCGTGGGCTCTGGGAGATCATTCCCAGTGCTGGGCTGCTTTTTATTCCCCAGTGGGCAAGCACTGAGTGGGTTGTTGGCACTGGTCGGCACTCAGATGCATGCTCTACAGGGCATCACTCCACGCTGCTGCTTGTCAGACACAGCATGACATCCCTCCTCCTGGCTGGGAGCTGCTGCGGGGGGAGGCGTGCTCCAAGGTACACTGGGAGGATCGATATCAGAGTATTTCTCTATTGATCCCGAGCTGAAAGCCTGCTGCCTGCCCTCCTTACAGCTGCACATGTCTTAATACACCATTTAACGGGTGTACTACACGAAATTGCTTTCTTGGCGCTCTCACCTCCACAGGGGGACGCTACGTGCTGGGTGCTGGTCACAGCTTCAAAGGGAGGGGAGATATAAACCTCTCATTTGGGAAACCCAATAGCACTATGGTAACAGGGATGGCAGCTCTGTGATGGGACTCACATGAAGATTTATAGGTGGGCCTTGCTGGTGCATCCGCTGTGGCTGTCTGCAGAGGCGACTAATTTCTGCCACCTGTTCTCATTATGTGTTGTCTTGTGTTTTGAAAATCCCAAGTACGCTGGTGTGCGGATGGCCATATCCAAGGTGCACAAAGAACAGACCTTCCTGGGAGTCATACCCCGAAGCTCTACTCCTCTCATCCAAATTGTGCTGATCGATGACGAGGTGGGAGCGCAGACCGGCACCACTGCGGAGCAGATGGCTGCAGACGTCATGGAGGACATAGCACAGCACGGTAACGCTGCTGTCCTCCGCAGTGGGTCCCCCATGGGTGTACCTAAAGCCACTGTTGTCCAGAGCTTCTTGTGCCCCGCCAGCAGCCCACGTGGTAGCCCCACGTCCCTGCTCTTTCACCAGGGAATCACCTGGGAATCAAGTGGCAGCTTCGTTGAAGCTCTTCGAGTTGAACGCTCCTAAGGTCCTTGTCCTCATCAGTCTGGTCCAGCACACCTCTAAGCCTTCCTAACACACATGCTCTGCATTTCTAGTGATTTCAGTAGTGAACTTTGCTTACCCAGAAGTTTTACCATTTTAATTGTAGTAGGCCAGTGGTGTGGGCAGAGCAGAACTGCAGGATCAGAATTATTGGGGTTGGCAGAGACCTCTGGAGACCATCTCCCCCACTGCCGCTGAGAGCAGGTTGCCCAGGGCCGTATCCAGCTGGGTGTTGAATCTCTCCAAAGATGGAGACTCCACAACCTCCCTGGGCAACCTGTCCCCCTATTTGACCACCTTTGCAGTACAACAATTTTTTCTTATGTTGAAGTGGAATTTACCGTATTTCAGTTTGTGCCCATTGCGTCTTGCCCTGTCACTGGGCACTGCTGAGAAGAGCCTGGCTCAGCCCTTCAGCTGTGTCTCACCAAGGCAGAGCAGAGGGAGAAGGGTCATCTCCCTTGGCCTGCTGGCAACCCTCCTCCTCATGCAGCCCAGGATACCATTGTCCTTCCGTGCCACGTCTGGCTACTGTCAGCTTGGTGCCCACCAAGACCCGCAGGTCCCCCTCTGCAGAGCTGCTTTCCAGCAAGAACGCTGTGTGTGGAGGCAGCCACGTAAGCTGGCAGATGCTGCTGAGCATGTAGGTCACAGCCAGGGGAACTGGTGGTGGTTGTATGGGTAGCAGACCCATGTAGGCTTGTCCCAGTTGAGTCCACCCAGCTCTGTATCCCACTCCCTGTCCCCAGGGAAAGGTGATTAACCAGGTGAGCAGTGCCAGACCCAGCTGCAGGCTCCCTCTGCCCTGTGTGTGAGTTGGGGTGGTATGCAGGTGTGGGGGCCTGTTGCCCCGTCCACTCCTCACCCCTATTTCTTCTTGCCCTTTCCCAGGTGAAGCACTTGGCATTTCAAGTGGCAAAATGGAGGTGGCCACCGGCAGCACTTTCAGCAGGCCAGCAGGGAGCCACGCATTGAGCAGGATCACAGCGGGGACGGTCTTGGGGCTACTCTTCGGTCTCCTGTTGCTTGGAGGGATCCTCTTTCTCTACAGAAAGGGAAAGCTAAGGTAGGGATGAGGCTTCTGCTTGGCAGCATGTCACCAGGCTTCTCCTGCCTGGGGGCAGCTATCATCCCAAGGCTGTCCTTCCAGCCAGCCTGGTGGCACGGAGGCACACAGGGCTGCCCAGAGCTCCCGTGGTGGTGGGCATGGCCGGGCAGTCTGCTATACCCAATGTTACTAGTTCATGGCATCACAGAATGGTTTGGGTTGGAAGGGAGCTTTGAAGATCATCTAGTCCAAGCACCCTGCCGTGGGCAGGGACATTTTCCACTAGACCAGGTTGCTCAAAGCCCCACTGAGCCTGACCTTGAACAATTCCAGGGATGGGGCAGCCACAGCTTCTCTGGGCAAACCGTTCCAGTGTCTCACCATCCTCACACTAAAGAATTTCTGCCTTATATCTAATCTAAATCTACCCTCTTTTAGTTTAAAACCATTGCCCTCATCATTCCTCACAGTTTATTGGAGGTGAGCTGGCTGAAAGGCACTTCTGTACTCTTGCAATGGTTCTTGGCCGGGAGGACTTGCTTCTTGGTGCCATGTGGCACCGTGTGCTCTGGCAGGAGTGGGGCTGCAGTGGCTTGGTTGGAACCCTGCACAGCCTGGTCGTGCTGCCAGGGGACATCTCCTGTTCCTTGTAACTCTTAGTTTGTAGTCCTGCTGGGGGATGGAGGACTGAAACTGCCAGCTGCTAAATAGAAATGCATCAAAATAATTCAAAGCACTTGTCCAGCAACTTTGTATCCATGAAAGGGAGTGACAGCATCCAGAAGCAAATGCAGCTTCTGGTGCCTTAGTTGCTCACGCTGCATGCAGAGTGGTGTGCAGGTCCCAGGGGAGGGACGGTAGGGTGCATGGCACCTGGCCTCACCGTAGCTGGGAGCTGGACAGAAATACCCTTCTCCATCAACTTTTCCCCTTGCAGCTTGGAGACAGGCTCCAGCAGTGAATAGGGCGTCCTGGCAGTGCCCACAGCAGGTGCTTGGGGCACCCATCTCTGCTCCTCACTCTTGCACCCAACTTCAAGCAGGGCCTTGCCCCTGCCGAGGAGGGTTTTGCAGGGTTTATTGGCAGACGTCTTTGTGTGGAGGGCTGTCTGCTGAGCTGCTATGGCTCGTCTCACCTGCTTGACCACGGGTAAACAGGATGGACCCTACGCTTTTTATAACAAGGGAATGGGAATTGCTTTAATTTCTGTGTAAGGTGTATTGGTGTCTGCCTGGGCATGCTGGTCCTGTCGCAGGCTCACAAGTCAGGTTGTTTCTTCCCTCCTGGTTCCTCTGCCGGGATTTTCTCACCACGCAGCAGCAGCCATGGCCAGGGATGCTTGCCCTGCCACTCAGCACGTGCTGACATGACATTTCCTAGCAATAAACCCGCGCCTTCATTTAATTTCTAAATAAAACTCCCAGTCCCATAATTGCTACTTGATGATTTATCTTCCACTGACACTTCTTTGGATTCCGGACAGGCCTTTGAAACCAGCTCCATCAGCAGCAGAAGGGAAGTTTGTGTAGCTACAGGAGACGGAGCTGAACCCAAGCCCAGGCCATGTCCCCAGCCAACCCGCTCCTGCTGCATGTCCCGGGGTAGCTCCAAGGCAGGTGCCCTTCTGGGCAGTGCTGCCGAGCATCACGGAGGCATCTGACACTGGCAGAGATGCTGCAAATTAGGCAGGCAGCTCTGGGAGCCTACAAATAGTCTGCCTCCATGCAGGAAAGCGGTCCTGACCACTAGCAAAGCAGTGAATTCAGCTTGTTTCCAGCAAAAAGGGCCTGGTACAGCTTCCCTGCAGATAATGCAGCTCCTTCGATTGCCTTAGAGCCTGTGCCACGGCGGTCACAGTGTTTCAGTACCAGTGGGCTCTCAGGATCTGTGGTGATGAGTGCGGACCCACTGCCGAGCCCACCCGCACCAGGCGCCTGGTGCAGGGGATGATGCTCGGTGACTGGGACCCTTAGGATAGGACTAATGAAGAAAATAATAAAAATGGTGATGGTGATTAAGATGATAAAATGATAACATGATAAAAGTAATTAGTGCTTGTTGAGATTGCAGTGGGAACAGGTGTTAGCTCTGTGGCAATTCATTTTAGGCCACGGGGGGAGAGCGATGGCTCTGAAGCAGAGCCTGTGCTGGGACTGTCTGCCTCTGAACAAACTCTTCCCTCCAGGATGCAGGTCCTAGACCTCCAGGCTTAACGGTTTCTGCTGGGTAGGGCAGCTTTTCCCTGGGAAAAGGTACAAACATCCCGTTTCAAAGACAGCCTAAGACTTTGCCCTGTATTTTCCCATCCACCTCTTGAAGATGCGGTGTTTCGTCTGGGGGAGCTGCTGGGATGGGCAGGATGCGGGTGGGTGATGCCCAGGTCTCTCCCCAGGCTGCCTGCCCTGCGCCTCCCCCGGCCTTGGGACAGAGCAGAGGACCCGGTGTCCCTTGGGCCAGCCAGTGACAAAGGCTTCGACAACCCCATGTTCGCTGTGGTGAGTCGCCGCCGCCCGGGGATGCTCGGGGCCGTGGGCAGGAGGTGGCGGGGCCCCAGCCAGGACCCTCTCAGGTGCCCGTGGGGCTGCAACGCGAGGTGCAGCGCACCCGGCAGGGCTCCTCCTTTCCCCAGGCCGGGAGGGGTTTGTGGGACGGTCCCATCCTCCCGTGGGTCACCAGCTCCTCAGCTGCCGCAGGGACTCAGCGCTGGGTGGGTTTTGCCAAGTGTTTTGCTTCCCTTCTCCATCAGTTGCTTTTCCCTCCCTCGCTGCCGCAGGAGCCGCCAAGTATTGACACTGGGGAGGACAGGCTGCAGGACATGGCTCCCAAAGACCATCAGGTGTTCTACCTCAACCCTCTGTATGATGCAAGCGAGACGGAGACCTGATGGCGTGACCTCCCGGGGGAGACTGCTGCCTCTCCAGCCCTCACAGCCCCTCATGTCGCTCCTGGCGGGATCTAAACCACAAGCCGGCAGATCCCACCTGAATAAAAGTGTCCATGCGGTAAAGGAAACCCACAGCAAACCTTCGCCGTGAGGGCTCAGCCACTCAGGCACAGCCTCCCTGATGTTTCTCCTAGGTTTTAAACTGTATTTTGTAGGCATCAGTCCTTTTTGATGGTTCAACATTGAGATTTGGGTCTCAGGTGGTACCTGGGGAAGTTGGGCTTTAATTCAGCACCCCACTCTTGAGCCAGCACTGTGCTGGATTTGCTCAGGGCATGCAGCAGGCTGAAGGATGCATCCCTGGATGCATGATGGAAATTCAGTGCTTAAATTAATTTCTAAATATGGCCTTGAGCCTCCAGAGCTTGGACCCATTAGTTGAGTTTAAAAGGAAATAATTTTGCTTTCCAGCAGTGTGCTTGGTGCTGGGGGGGGTCTCTGCACGGGGTCCCTTGTTTCTCCTCTCTGGGACCTCGCTCCTGTCCCCTGGGTGCTGGCATGGGGCTCCGTCCTGAGCAAACATTTCCCTCCCCTGAGCTGCCTGAGCTTGCTCCTCTCCCCCGTGCCCAGGCTGATGGTTATGAGACCCTCTTGGACCTACCTGGGGATTTAGTATGTTATTCCCCGTGCCAAAAGAGCGCTTCTTCTTGTGGTGCAAGGGGAAAGGGGTTCCGTGGCAGTGTGAGGGGTCCCCGGGGAGGGACGGCTGGGGACAGTGGCTCTGGCCTGTCTCTAACGAGGGTCAGGGCAGTGGCGGCACCGAGGGGCATTGTTAGCGGTGGCGTTTGCAGCCTGGCGTGTGTCAAATACCCTCAGCTTCCTGCAATGTCAGGCAGTGCTTCATTACGGGAACGGGTCTGATGGGTGAGGCGGAAATTATGGAGATGTATGCAAATTTATGCAAATTTACGCTCTACTGGGTTTTCAGTAGGGCTTGTTGGCATATTCCATAAGGAAGCAGCTATTTTAAGTTTATTGTATTTTGTTCCAGTCTCTGGAAGACATAATCCCTTCTCAAAGGTCTGGGAATTCATCATTAGGAGCATCAGAGGCCTGACGAAGGGTGACAGGCAGCGCGTGGTGATGAGACCGGCCCTGCCGCCCCCCTGCCGGGAGA